GGGGGGGGGGGAGGGCTGCCAAGGGGGAAGTAGAGAATTACCATGAAACCAAACCAAAATATCCTAAGCTCTGAAACCTTCCTCTCTACTTTTCAGGTGAACCTGGAAAAAGCATTATTCCTCCAAGACTAATACTAGCATAGGGAAAGGGTTTGGAGTGAGAATGGGACTATTATCCTTCAAGTCTCTGTGTATCCTACATAAAGGCTAAATCAACACTCAAGTTATGATCAATATAATGTAACACATGGAAACCAAATTGTATTCATTAATATGACCATGGCACAAATAGCAACACAATGCTACAGACTGCACAGCCAAACGCTACTTTTTAAAACATATATTCTGACTCCATCTTCCCTAATGCCAAATACTCACACACCACTCAAACTAGAGAAAAGCTTCAGAAAAATCCAAGAGGCCAGAAGTCACACTTCAATCACACAAAGCCTACCAACATGCTAAACACAAATCCCAAGGACTTCCCTGAAGCTAATCACAGTGTAAAAACAGAAATACAAAGGTAAGTTTCTGCAGAATCAGGACTGTAATTTGTTGTTTGGATTAAAACAACAAAGAACCTTACAGAAGTGCTCTGCATTTCATGTTTTATGCTTAAGGTTACTTGTTATGATTAAAGATTCTAAGATTGTTTGAAGCCATTTCCAGTAACAAAATATTTATTCTCAATATAGACCAGACACTGTGTTTTTTATTATGTTTCATACATCATTTGCACTAAAAGTTATGAGATCTTAGTCACCATTTGAAGAATAAATCCATGCTTTTGTGGCAAAACCCCACTTTTCCAATGATTTATAGCCGTGTGCAGGGCAAAGTGAACCACGCTCCTGAAAGATTCTGAAGTTTTAAAATTTCCAAAGGGAGCCACATGCATTTTAAACACACACTTAATTCTGACTGTATTATGCGTCTTTCACTAAATAAGTACTGCACCACCAGAGGAGCTGTGTATCATCCTGCCAAGCAATTCTAGAATACACTGAAAAATTGGTAGTTGTTTTTTTGGTTTGTTTTTTTTCTTTAGCAAAAAAGAATGAGAATAATGTATGTTGTTTGAGCAGGCCGAATATTATAGCATTAACTGGGCATGATTTTTAAACTGATAATCCCATATAACTGTGGGAACTGCCTACCAGAAGGTCACTTTATGCCTACTTGCATGACATTTGTGACCATGAAGACAAGGCCAGATTTAAAATCAATGAAAAGTCACATTCTAGATCTTGGGTAAAACTCCTGGATGACAAAAAAAGATTCCTATGTGGGTCTGAATTTTGCTATACTAACAAATGTTAAATGATTTTAAATAAACAAAAAGGAAACTGACTTTTGTTTGCTATAATAAACATAGTGCAGTAAAAGCAGAGAGTAATTCATCCAGTCACATCTGTTCCTGGAAACTAGGAATCTGCAGTGAGTCAATGAAGAGGACAGGGAGTTATCCTGATGAAGTAACTTGTCCAGCTCACAACTTACAAGAGCAGCCCACTATTTCACTGACATAATTTCTCCACCTGTACTTGGGCAGGATGTCTAGTTTGAAGCCTAGATAAAATAGAAGGTTGAGTATAAACCTAGCCAAATAACAGGCAAACAATCTAAAGAGCTGACAACCAAACTATTGAAAACAAAACCTTGAGAGGGAACAGCACCTGATGCTTGTGCCACAGAATGCTCCTGGTAAAAACCAAACTCTAGACAATCAGGCTATCCAAAGAAATCAACTACAGTTAAACATCCTGTTAACTGAGTTAAACTCAGGCAATTGAGTGGCTTCTCAAGCACACTAGTAATTATGAAAAACACACCTGCCAGCAACCAGCAGAATTGGAGATTTCACCTAGGTTTAGATATAAATCAAAGCCAGGCACCTATGTTCCCTCCACAACAAAAACATCTACATTCCCTCTCTGGTGGAAACTCCAGACAATGATTCAGTTCATAGCAAAATAAACACTCATGAAGGAAATGGTCTGGAGTTTCCAACTCTTCCCCTTTCTCCTCAGCATTACTGTAGAGCAGACCTGGCTGCTGACTTCCAGATGCCTAAAAGTTGGTAGCTTAACCTTTTTGTGCAGTATGCATCAATTAAGCCACTTGCAAAGTACCAAAGAACTTGCTGAATCTATCTTCAAGTTTCCATAAAGCAGCTTTTTGCTTCCCACCAGAAGCAAAATCCAGCAATGTTCTCCAAGCAGAATGTGAAAAATTTAAGCATATCTGAATTTCTACACTTTAGATAACTGAGACTACTCTCTGCTACTGTCCAAGCAAAAAATCAGAAATCTGGATGTGCCCAGGACACGTGCATAGATAACCCACGCATTAAAAGAATTCATCCAATCTGCACAGGTGATCTACTCTTCACAGCAATGCCAATGCAAACTGGACACATGATGGTCTTTCAGCACAAACAGGTCACCTGAACAGCACAGAAGCAAGGCCCAGGACTTCTTAAATAAGGATGTGCTACTTACATGCTACAAAACACATGTACTAACAGCTGGCAAATCCTACACAAAAGTGTTGTAAATCTTTGCTTGGTGAGCAGACAGGTATAAGTGGCCTCTACAGCTAATGGTCCATAGCTCACTGCTGCAGCTCACTCCGAGGATGCTCATTGCAACATAGAATACACAGAACAAGCTCTCTAACAAACACGTGGCAGATGCACAAACAAAAGATGGGACGGTCAGAAAGCCTTTCCAGAACACAAAAGAGCTCCAGCAGGTGTATTCTACATGCCCACACACTCCAAACATGATATAGACTGTCAGAAACCTCGCCCTTCAGGAGACTGAAGTTTGCCTCCCAACCTCGTCAGAAGAACCACTGGAACTTGCAGTAACTAAACCACAACAGAAATTCATGAAGCAAAAGCACCTAACAAGTGGGCCCAAAAAGGCATCTTCAGAGCTGACTTTCTTAGCTGTAAAAGCAAACTGGCCAGAAATTAAAAGTCTGAGAGCTGCTTGGTAGGAATTACACATCTCGGAGACCCATTATCACTGGGCAAAATTCCCAAGAACCAACTCCACGAACTACGAATTGGGGTATTACTGAAGATAATGGCTACATTCCTATGCAACAAAGCAATGCCTAATTCTATTAATAGACAGTCTTGTAGCTGCAAAACTTAAATAATAATAATAAAAAAGTATTTGGGCAGCTCAGAGCGAGGAGGAAGCTCTAGCAATAAAGCTTGTACTTCTCCTAGAACCTTTCTACAGACCTGGCAATGGCAGAAGTCTAAGAGACAGCTATTTACCTCCAGGAAACACTAACTAGAAAAACAACACTAAAGGCACCTGTACTGAAATGGAGCTATAACTGCAAAGAACAGGAAAAAAAATAAATGAAGAGAACGCTAATAAAAAGGATTTATTTAGGAATCACAATAACGACTTAAAATTAGAAAGGAACTGAAGCAGCAACAGGAAGATGTACTACAGAATCAACTTTTCCAAGTATGTCCTGTGCAAGCCACTAATAAAAATCAAAGCAAGAAAGCTGTTCTGAAATACAGACAACACTATTGAAAGGGACTTCACTAGATGGCTTATTCCCATCTCTGCACCAAGATTTCGTGCATTTGCAGTCTCATATTCCTCCTCAGCCCTCCCATTTAAGTTACATACCTCCAACCTTTCCTAGCTGCTCACACTTTACAGGTCTCTCACATCCTGTTTTTCTGTAGACTATTCACTCTTGAACTGCAGGAATGTTAGCAGTGCTGGAGTTAGCTTTGCAGACCACATTGTTACCCACACACTGACAACGCACAAAATGTTTTATTGGCTTTTATATATTTGTGAGTTTAGATGCATATGGCTGAAAAACAAGGAGCTGACTTCATGTTTCCAGGACATCAAACTGAGTTGTGCAGTGATTGTGAGAGTGAAGTACTATTTACACAGCAGTACCACATGTTCTAGACGCTTCAGAGATCATCAAGACCTTTGCTCTGCAAAGCCTACAGCCTAACAACAACTGAGATGGCCATGGTTACAACAGGTAGAATTGTTAGATTAGCTAATCATGTAAGTTCTTGTCTACCTTCGCTATCCTTTTATGCCATTCTTAGTACCTGAAACCAATTAATATATTCCTGTAATGCCTGTTTTTACAGCCGAAAAAGAGATTTCTTTAGAAACTCTAGGTTTTTAGAAGGGCTACCCACAGACAGTTCTGGTGGAGGGACTGTCTCCTAGTGCAGACTCCAAGACTGACCAGATATTCAGGGGCATTTCATGAATCATCTACTCCATCTAACCTTGAGTTCACCTACTTGTTAAATTTGGTAACACAGCCAACATGACGCAAGCAGCAAACAGCCTCCAAAACCCCAGCACTCCTCCCAGCTGGGCAGTATGAAGGTCAACGTCGAAAAGCAACAAGTGCTTCACGTTAGCTTCGTCCACAGGCTGTGATAGTTAAAGCAACTACAGTTCTGCTCAGCTGTGCTCACCTGACTGAGAAACACTGTGTTAAACCTCTCAACCCCCCAGAAAGCCTCTCCTTGAGCCGCAAACACCCTTCTAACATTGTTAGAGTTTGCAATGACAAACTCCAAGAGCCTCCTCCAGCTGTAAGGACATGAATCCTCTTCAGCTAGTCCCGAACGAGGGC